CAGGCTGGAATGCAATGGCACGATCTCGGCTCACCGCAACCTCCGCCTCCTGGGTTCAGGCAATTCTCCTGCCTCAGCCTCCTGAGTAGCTGGGATTACAGGCACGCGCCACCATGTCCAGCTAATTTTTTGTATTTTTAGTAGAGACGGGGGTTTCACCATGTTGACCAGGATGGTCTCGATCTCTTGACCTAGTGATCCACCTGCCTCGGCCTCCCAAAGTGCTGGGATCACAGGCATCAGCCACCGCGCCCGGCCCACAAAAATAACTCTTAATGCACATCTGACCCAAAGGTTTTGACTCAGGGCTTATGAATCTATATTTTTAAACCAGTGTTTCCCATACTTTAGGTGCCTAAGAATTACCTGGAAATCTTGTCATAATAGAGATTCTGAAGCCCTCTACAGAATTTCTGATTCAGTCAGTACAAATCAGAATTAGAGTGGGGCCTAAGATTCTGTGTTCCTAATAATCTCCCAGTGATGCTGTTGGTCCAGGACCACACTTGAGTAGCAAGAGTCTAGGCAGCCCAATTTGGCACCAGGAGCCTGGCAGCTGCCTCAGCACGAAGTCCCAGCCTGACACTTGCTACGTTCCTGATCTGTGCTGGGACACGACAGTCAGGCTGGCATCTGAATCCCTCCCAGGCTGTTCTGTGAGAGATTCTGCTGGGCAGTAGAAAATAAGCAAGTTTAGTCAGAGCCTTTAGTTGTAAACAGACAGAAATTTTTTCCAATCTCTGCTCTGGATATTTGGTTAACACTGGGTACCCAACTCGCAAATGCTTTGAGAAGTTACAAAGGTGGTTTGAGTTGGAACAGTAAACATAAACCCCAAAAAGAAGTCAGACATGTTTGATTTGTAGCTTCTGCCGGCAGCAAATGAATTTTTTAAGAATACACTGTAGGCTGGGCGTGGTGGCTCATGCCTGTAATCTCAGCACTTTGGGAGGCCGAGGCAGGCGGATCACCTGAGGTCAGGAGTTCAAGACCAGCCTGGCCAACATGGTGAAACCCTGTCTTTAAAAAAGAATATGCTGTAAACATTTTAAAATTGGGAGAGTTTACACCAAAGCCCAGAGTTCTAGATTGCCTTAGAAAACAAACAGAAGATTTAGCAATCCTGGGAGCCCATTTCCAGCATATTTATTTGTGAAGAATATTCTCAAGTTGTTTAAGATGCTAAGAAAGTGTAACTGGGTGGCAAGCTTCAATACCATGCTAAGTTCACTCACGTGCACGACCTGACGGGTGCCTCACGCATGTCAGTGTGCAGTCCCTGACCTGGAGGCTGACAGCCTTGCTTAAGGGGATAAATGATTCAACCCTTCTGAAGGGACTACAAGTCTTGGTTTCCTGGCATCTGGTTGCAGTTCTTAGCTACCGCTCAGGCAGAGGAGGCCTGGAGCAGGATAAGCTCAGAAAAAAAATGCACGTGGAATTCAAGAGAGGATCCCTGCTGTGTGTGAATCTGTGCAGTCACAAGACTCCAAACCTCAGTTTCCTTATCGATAAAATGGGGACAGGCCGGGCGTGGTGGCTCACGCCTGTAATCCAAGCACTTTGGAGGCCAAGGCAGGCGGATCACCTGAGGTCAGGAGTTTAAGACCAGCCTGACCAACATGGTGAAACGCCGTCTTTAAAAAATTAATAAATTTAAAAAAATAAATAAATAAAATGGGGACACACTTTATAATAAATTCTGATAATGCAAATCAAAGCGTTTTTAAACTAGGGGTGCCCAGAAGGCACTGTTAATTTTTTTTAAGTACCATTAAAGGCAGTATTTAACATTTTTTAATGTAATAAATCAGTGAAGAAATTTTAGGCTTGGAGAAGAGAAAGACTGTATATGATTTAGACAAGAGGTCAGTAAACTATGGCCTATGGGTCAACTCTGGACCGCCACCAGTTTTTTTTTTTTTTTTTTTTTTTT